AGACTTTCTGGATTCGAGGATTGACCATTTAGGAGTAGTGTTGGTTCGACCATAAGCGTCGAAATCTTCAAGGATCCGAGTAACGGCCTTGAATAAGCTAATGGCTCGTGTCTTCACCGATTCCAGATTCAATTGATTCACCACTTGCTGATTCAGCTTCTCGGCCACCGGAGGCGGCTGGGCCTGTGGCTGCGCCGTCGTCAACCCGACTCCACCCTCCATTGGAGCTTCTCGACGATTTCTCTACACTAATTTCAATTCACGTAATTAGGGTTAGCGATCGAGGCATAACTAGGTTCCGATTACTGAATATCTGTCTCTAATATAGTAAATTTTCGATTCCTGAATCTATAGTTTAGCGATTATATACTGAGAATGCTAAAATTTCTACTTTCTACAATCAAACTCTTTACTTTGAGACTGACACAATCATTCGAGGATCGAGAATGCAGTATTCACTGGAAGAACAGAGAAAGACAACGAAAGGAACCTTACGATTATAAAAGCGGAAACAGCTTGACGAGGATTGCGAAAGCTGGATGAATTTGAAGCGCGAAATCGAACAAGCTTTGTTCTTCGAAGGAGTTATCGGAGAGGAAACGAGAGAATGAGAGTTTGAGAAAAAGAGAACCGGGAAGAAGAAAATATATAAAATTTCATATTAAATACGAAATGGGGGATTTTCAAAGATCAAACCTTTGTTTCTCAATTCTTGCTCATTTGATTATTGATCTGTAGTTTAGACTAATATCCGTGTATACGCATGAATTTTTCTATTATTAAAATTTTAAAAAATATTTGAAAACAATTTTAGATTTGCGATTAATATTATAAAATCAAATCCAAATGATATCCGCATTTTAATTCCAATTTGTTTGGTTAGCAATTAGCTTTCAAATATATATTTGTCTTTGAGCGTTGGATTGAATCATATATATAAATTAAGGTCAACTCTCTTCATATGATTGATATTTGGCAAATCTTTTAAAGAGAGCAGTCTCTTCGTATTCTTAGTTGTTGCAGTTATAATAAGTTTCGAAACTGTCAGTTGTTTCACCTTCCACTTTGTATCAATATTCCGTTAATTGATATTGTGGCATGACTTTTCCTCTTCTTTCCAGTCAATAACTCTAAATCTTATACATTTCAACTTATATCATAATAAAAATCACTCCAGCTTCCATCTTAAGTTATTATTAAATATCTAAATTCTCCTAATATATGGAAAAATGGATTTAGCAAAAATCGATGGCGGAAAATCAAAGTCCGTTCTATATGGTCTTGAGTAAACAAAGAGAGTTAATGGTTCATAGACATATGGTATGATAGAAAAATATATGTTGGAAAGTCATTCGCTAACTAACAAATAGAAATTAAATACGAATATTATTGGATTATACTTTATAATATTAATAGCAAATCTTATTTGCGAGCACTTTTTAAAAACTTTAAGAATAACAAAATTCGCGCGTATGCGCGGGCATTAATCTAGTAATAATGAAAGGGCAAAGTCATGCGATAAGATTAGTTTATGCTTACAAGAGAAATTTTATGGTTTGTTTTTTTGTGTGTCGACAAGTGTATAACTTTTGTAATATTCTTAATGTTCAGTCATGTGTTTGTTACATGAATAAAACATATTTATTCAAAATATTACATGATTTGTGGGTATTTATAAGAGTCACATATCGTATTTTAAAATGAAATATAAACTATTCAAAAAATAAATAGAAGAATACTTTAAAATACCTTTAAATAAAAAAGAAATTTTATTTAAAATATAGAAGTTCACAATAACATAGAAGCAGTTTATGGTTATTAAGAGATTATTAAAAACTTTGGAAATAACAAAACGATAACTGAACTATTACAATTTCATGACGTTTAGTCCATTCTTGGATTTGCTTTTCAAATCGAGAGTAGTTCTTTTTGAAGAGCTTTCCAATTTCTGGTACAAGAGAATCATCTGGATTTAGGTCTGCCAATAATGAAGATATAGATAAAAGCACCTGATATTACACAAAGTAGTAATACTAAATTTACGAAAAAATTGACTATAAATAATAAAAAGAACAATTGAATAATGAAAATGAACAATAAGAAACAAAATATTGGACACATGAGTCGATTTTAAAACCTTTTCAACCGTGAGAGAGGGACTCCACTTATCTTTCAGAATGTCAACGCAAATCGATCCTTGCGAATTGATATTTGGATGGTAAGTCGGTGTGGTGAACGTAAACTGCAATAATGATCAAAAGAAAAGAAAAACAGAAAATATGTTTAAATTGGTATATTTTTTTTTGTTAGTTTAATTTGGTATATAACACAAACAACCTCTTAAATTGTTAAAAACAAAAAAGTTTGTAAATTACCTTTGGTGGTTTAAAAGGATAATCTATAGAAAATTTAATGTCAATTCTAAATATGCCACCAACATACGGAGTTTTCTGTGGACCCTGAATCATCGCATTCCATTTGAACATATCGTTTGAGTCTGTAGCTATACATATCATCAACAAATAAAATTAAGTGAGAAAAAAATATGACGAAGATACTCATAATTTTCTCTATTATCTGAAAACAAAAGTACTTAACATGATATTGCGTAAAATATTTAGATATAGAAATGTAAATATACTAGTAGTAGCTAGAGAAAAACGAAATAAAGAAAGTGGAAGAAGAAGAACTACTAACCAACACTGTATAAAGAGTCTTTCGAATTCATATCCTTCAATTCCTTCACAATCCGCATCACTGCTCTTTTTTCCACAGACATGTTTACAATTAATGGCCAATATATTTTCCTTTTAATCAAATGAAATAACAAGAAGATTGTTGTTAGTATGATGGTTTTGTAATTTGTGAAGGATTAAATTCCAAAGATATTTGAAATAATTTGGAGGGAAAAGGAAATTAGATCAATCACTTACTTGAAAGATGTTGGTATGAAATGATTTATGAAACCTCATGCTTTATAGCTTCATAAAGTAGAGCTAATGAACGGCGTAATCCCTAATATATTAAAAGAGAAAACACTATAAAATAAACTTTGTCTCATGTGTTATTAACAGAAATGTCATGCTGATGTGTCAACACCAGGTTCACTTTCAAGGTTAGTTTTAATTAAGACAAACATTACTAGACTAATTACATGTTATGCCATTCATATTTGGTTAGAGAATGAAATATATATGATTAATTTAGTCAGAAAAATAATTATTAATGAAAATTATTTTCTTTCAGTTTCCTTATTTGGTAATGACGAAAATTTATTTATTAGTCAATCAATCAGTAAAATATGGAAAGTTTTATTCAATTGTATTATATTAATTGTTTAAAAATTAATTTATTCATCTATCATTTTTGTTTAGCTTTACTTTCAAGAATAAATTATATCATCACATCAAAATATTTAAAAAAAGAAAATTAGTTTTTTTTACATATGCTATGGTTTGAATTTTTAAAAATGAAGCAAATCTCTAAAAATGTTAAATGTCCCACATGATTATATTTTGGGATAATAGTTCAAAAACCTATTATAAAATAGGATCCAAATAATGATCAACCATAATCACAAATAGGAAAGAAAAATTTACCATGTTTGGAAATCTTTAAAATTTCTTTTATTCGATTTAATTTGATTAAATAATTAAATCGTATTTTTTAATATTTTGGTTTGATCAAAATTTTAAACGTAATAAATTCTAATAACTTATCATATAAGTTAAATTATTTTAGTTATTTAAAATTGATAAAAACATAAAATATATATGCCATTTTATATTTATCAAAATATAAAATTATTTTAAATGTATTAAAATTTAATATATATGTGGGTTCGGAAAGGGAGAAACTGTTGTTAAAGCAAATGTTAGATTACCACACTGTAAACGATGACAAAAATCAAACCAGAATCTATGCAATATGCATCACTCAAAATTTCGTCTAATGTAAATTGACATTTTTTTAATTGTCTAACACTCTATGTTCCTAAAATTGTATGTAAATAGACATCTTTTAATAAAATCAAATTGAGAAAATATCATCCCGTGCAAGGCGCGGGTCAAACTCTAGTGTGTTATTAACAAGATAACCATTGCTTAGGTGTCATCACTAGGTTCACTCTTAGAACAATCCCTAATATATTAAAAGAGAAAACACTTTAAAAATAACCTTTAGTTGATGTGTTATTAACAAGAATGCATGCTGATGTGTCATCATTAGGGAGCTTCTCATGTTATTTATAAAATAAGGATTAGTTTACTAGACTAATTACAAACATTGCATTCATATTTTTGGTTAGAGAATCAAATATGTATAGTTAGATTAATCATATATGAAATTATTAATAAAAGAATCATCATTCTCTTTCCTTAATTGGCAATTACGAAAATTAGTAAATAAGGAAAATATGAGATTCAATTTAATGCTATCATTATATTTTTTTTAAATCATTCTATATCTCCTTTCATCTTTGTTTAACTTTATTTTATAAAATAAAAAATTGACACAATACAAAAAATCTAATAAATAAAATCTAAAACTTTTTCTATATATGCTATGATTTGAATTTTTAAAAACAAAATAATCACTAAAACTATTAAAATTCCCAATATGTTGTTGTGTGTAGGTGTAAAAATATATTATAAAAAATAGATGATATGCAACCATGTAAGTAGGAGAGTAGGTATCTAAATGTAATTTTTTAAAAAAATATTTTATATGATTTTTTAGTTAAACTGTATAATGAAATCAAATAAAATAATATTTTTTATAAATGTATTTAATTTTGATCAAAAATTTGAATATTGCTCCATTTGTTTCAATTTTTCAGTACAAAATTACTTATACTTTTGTTATTTTGACAATTTGGATTTTGCAAGATTGATCTTTTATTGGTTGGATTGTTTTGGAATTATAATAAAACATGTTTTAGTTTTAAAAGAAATAAAAAAAGTTAGTTCTAATCCGTGTAAACACCTAAAACTTCTTATCTTATAAAATACACTCATTTGAGTTTTATGTATTTTGCTGAAGTCTAGCATATTTAATCTATAGTCTAGCATATTTAATCTATGATCAATGTTTTAATTTGTTTATAATTTTTAAAATGTTTAATTTCCACATTATAAACGAAGATAAAAACCTTAACAAGGTAAAAAAATCTGTCACATAAAATTTTGAAATAGTTAAATATACATTTTTAATTAAAAAATACAAATTCAGAAACCATCTCTCCGTGCTGGACGCGAATCAAACACTAGTAAATTATAAATCTCATGCCAAGCAAAGCATGTGATGCCATCACTATTAATAAATTATTGATATCAATACTTTGAAAATGTGTCTACATAAAACAGAAAACCAGTTCATATATAGGCAGTAATCTTTATTTCCAAAATATCCAAAAACTAAAAACTATTAGCCAGCATAGCAAAATTAAACTTTATAAAAATAAACATAGCAATATTAATAGAACTTTCATTAGCCAACTGGTTCATAAGAATAATACATGTAAATAAATTATTATCCTCAGAAAAAGATGATAATTATTATTTGTAATGGTACGTTGGTTTTAAAATTAAATCTTCTAAATTTCTAAATATTATGAGTGGAATTTTCAACTTTTTGATAATATAGATAGATGATGTACTACTATTTTTAACATCCATTGACCAACATTTTCAAAACTTATGTACTTTCTTAATTTTGAAAAAACATGGATTAGTTGTATAACAAAAACATGGATTATTAGTGCTTCATCAACTCCGCGCGCCTTGGAGCAGTGTCGCTTCGATCAAAATTCTAGTCTAGCAGTATAGTATACTCGACCAAGTTTTCTTCTACATTTATAGTACGATAGAAAATGAGAAAGGGAAAAGAAACAAAATGGACTTTCAAGTCCAAAAACTAAGCAAGTTGAGTCGAAAGATCTATTGAAGGCTTTTCATGTTTAGGTAACATACCAGAACTCTAAAACCTAATCTTTCGTTTTCTTATTCAAGTGCGAAAATTTGTATTAATCCGTCTTGTAAAGAATCACGAAAATGTTATAAAAGACCTTGCCAATATAAGACTTAAAAAAAGAAAAATATGGCCAATATTTGTATGTATATTATTACCAGATATGTATCTATTAAATTTCGGAAATAAGGTTAAAAAAATGGATCATTAAATCCTCCAATGTAAAACATATATCCATAATAATATATCCTCATGAAAATAAACTGTGTCCTGGCAGCGTTCAATAATTTGGTTCTGTTTGGTACAAGAAATTTTGTATTCGATTTATTTGGCCACAAATTAAATCTATCTTATACTCCTGTATAATAAAAGGCTATCTCTCCAGATTTCAGCTGACCTTCACGTTAGCACATGAGAGATGACCACATAGAACATTCTAGGAATTTCTCCCTTTTTTATTATTTTTCACGTGTCACTTCGGTAAAAAAATAATAATTAGAATTCATAATTATTGTCTTATGTTATGTTTCATCTTCCGATTTACTTCTCTTTATTTTCTCTTTTCTACATCTCGATACCGCAAAAATAAATTTGCACAATCATTCTTCCTCGCACATCATCTACTTCCAACGATTCCTGGTCTTACGAAACCATTATTGCCCATATAGATAATGACCTCGCTGGTTACTTCAACAAGCCTAATAGCCGGAGAACTCTTCTGTTGTAGTCAATAGTCTCTCTTCTTTTGAATACAATAGCCGCCGGTTATCTCCATTGTCTCCGTCTCGATTTCCGATCCTGAGAATTCTGGTCTGACAAAACCCGTCCTCCTTTTTTATATCATACCACATGTCTATGTGCTCTCAACTCTCTTTATTTATTCACCGCCACTCTGATTTCCCGCCATTGCTCTTTATTGGATCCGTTTCTCATGATAGAAGCCGAAGGGTAATAGCTTTGGAGTGAGAGAGTGATTTTGTTACCAGAAGTTGAAATGTTTAGCAAATAAATAATGCAATGCAACGTGGAAAGTGAAACAACCGACATTTTTGAAAAAATTGTATGTAATGACTGCAATGCAATATGAAAAGTGAAACAACTAACGGTTTTGAAAAACTTGTATGTAGTGACTGTAACGACCAAAAATATGAAGAGGCTGCTCTCTTTAAAATCTTTGTCATGCCTTAATTTATTAAACATCCAGATGTCAATTATATGAAGAGGGTTGACTCCTATTGATATATATGATTTAGCTGAATTTAGTTATGAATCATAAAAACGGAGAAGGAACACATTTTGAAAAAAATTACAACATCAATGATAAAATAAGCCACAAAATTTTGTTGAAATTTGTAAATCAAACACTTGAATAACAACTACAGTCTACATTTCTTCATCTAATAAAGTCAATCAATGATACACTAATCCACAAAAAATTGTAAATCAGACATTTGAATAACAACTACAGTATACATTTCTTCATGTAACAAAGTCAATAAATATAAATGTTTGTTATGTTAAGATTATTAATAAACATCGTTTGTATGTTTTACAATGAATGAAAAAAGAAGAAGATACAGCTATAGATTTGTAGGAAGGGAAGGAGAGAAAGAGTTTCTCATCTTTGGCTGTCATGGCGTTACTTTGACGGCCTCCACAAGACAACTAACATATCTGCCGGAAAAAAAAAATTGGGACAAACCTCTTCTTTCTTTTTTCTATAATCAAAATCCCTAAATCTCATCCGATCGAGAAATTATGTGTATGAAAAAAGAAAAAGAAAAACACAAAACATCTATGGAAGATATAAGAGAATAATGACGTATTTTGTTTGTTGCATTTCACCACTGGTTTTTTTTGTTTCTTCTTGGAACCATAATTCAGAATCTGCAGGGTTTTTTTTCTTCTTCTTGCTGTTTCTGAAAAAAAAAATATTGGTGACTTCTTCAAAGAGATGTTCTATCATCGTTCATCAAGTCTCTCTCAGTTCGGTTGCTGCATCTATAAGAAGGAAGAAAAACAAATGTCAAATCACTTAGAAAACAAAAACCCATCTTCAATCTCTGGTAAAGTCTGCATTTTGATGCATCTAAGAGAGCAAAGAAAACAACCCATTTTGAATCTCTAATAATGAATTCTATAGTTACCTGGGAATATAAGTATTCGTCGAACATGGAGACAGAGCAAGGCAAGGAGCTGCTGCTAGAACCAAACCTGGTTTGGTTTGGGTTGTTGTTGAAAGCAGAACATCCAGGTGGTGGTGGTTCGAAGAATCCATTCATATGATACTCTCTCTGGTTCATTGGGAAGTTATAAACCTGAGGAGGAGGAGGCAACGTTTGGTGATGAATCAGATCATTCTGCAGATTGGGATTGTATGCTGTGATATTGTTACTATTCGTGAACTGCTGCTGCGAATTTGTCTGCGGTTTCAAATGTCCGTTGGTGGTGGCTGTTAGTTCATCAAGAAAGCTTGTTTCTTGACCCGAAATCGCAATCTCAGGAGATTTTCCAGTTCCAAAGTAGCCTGGATAGCTCCCAAATGAAGAGCTCGCAGAGCACTCCACTTCCCTCTGCGGGATTAGATTGTGTTCCTCGGGGACAATGTTGGTGTTGCTGTTGTTGCTATTAAGAATCCATGACATAGATTGTAGCTGTTGTTCCAAAGGAATCTGAATCCCATCTTGCATCTGAGAATAGATGAAGTCCGGTTTTGAGATTTGATTGTTTGAGTGAGAGATTATAAAAAAGGAAAAATCATTCGAGTAAATAAATTACCGAGCATGTTGACCAATCTTTAACAAAGTTTGCGTTTTCTATTTGCATTGCCTGTTGCTGCTGCCCCAATTGTTCCTTATGAGCACGCAGTTGATCTAGAGACTGCCTAATCGAAATCTCGAGCTGTCCCAAGTGATCAACGTTGTTTATCTTTTCTGGTTCTGTCCAATAACTGCAGAACATATATGATCCACAAACAAGTATGAAACAGAGAACGAAAGCAAAGAATCATCTTCAAAAAAAGAGATGTGTACCTTAATCTTCCATGTATCTCAGAAATCCGAGCTTGCAGAAGCCTTGCTTGAGTACTCAGATCCTCTGTTGTTGAATTACTGAAACCAGAGAACAAAAAAAACAAACATGAGAAAACGTTAAGGTTCATATGAATGAAGTTCACTTGCAAAAGATTCTGATTAGAAAACTGAATCCTAGTCACCTTGAGGCTATAAATTCGCGTATATTTACATCGTGATCCAACTTTTGGAAAGTTTTCTTCAAGGCCTGAGCTTTCGAAAGAGAAACATTTGAATCAGCAACCAAACGAAAAAGCTTCCAGGAGAATCGGTACTAAATTCAAAATACACAAAAGACTTGTCTTTGATTGTGAGAGAAAACAACTTACTTCAAGACCTTCAAATTTCCTGTTGTCAAAAAATGCACCAATCAGTTAAAACAAGAACACTAAAGAAAAACATTATTGATAAGAAAGAAATAAAAAAAAGAACAAAAACCAGACTTTTTTGTTCTTTCGTTGGGTGGAATTTGAGAGAACTTAGCAATCACCTCTTCAATACTGCTGAATAGAAAAAAATAACAGAAATAATAATCATTTACACAATCCTGACAGAGACATAGATGATTATGTATGTTTGGAAAGAAAAAGCAAGAACAAGGGACGTTACCTTCTTCTACCGAGACATAAGGAAGGTTTCCCAGTAGGAGAGAACATAAGAAGAACAATATCAATGTCACATAGAATTGATAGCTCATTAGCCTTTTTCAAGATCCCATTTTTCCTTTTAGCAAATGTTGTTTGGCGTCCATTTGGGTTCTCTAACTTCTTTATCTTCAGTTTAACCCTTCCCATCCTGTCACAATCATAATCAAATTCAAAATCCCTTCTTTTTCTTTGATTTTGTCTCTCTGTGTGTGTGTTCTTGATAAGCAATTTTACAAACACATTTGACAAAATCTCTCTCAAGTAGGATCCGATCATTCATTCATTCTGATCCTCAATCCAAGACAATATTCAGAACTCATTGCAATATCACAAACCAAAAACGAAAAGCTTTCCAGAATTTAAGAAATACGATCACACACCCAGGATCATGATTCCAATTTCATCACTTTGGGTTTGAAATAAAAGTGTGATCTTTTTCCAGAATTGTGAAAACCCTAATCGTTAATCTGTTGGGTGATAAGAAGAAGGAGAAGAAGAAGAAAAAGGAAAGGGAGGAAGAAAGGGAAACTTACCCAAAGAAGCAAATTCAAACGCCAAGCTGATACTAACCATGGGGGAGATCTTAAAAAGGACCTCTCGAGAAGAAGGAAAAATCGAAACGAAGAAATCAAAAACCAGAGGTAGAGATAGAGACAGAGAAGACGATTGCGGTTTACATGAGACTCTGCGAAAAAACCGGTCTTATGATAGACCCGCTTGAGAATAGGGATTCCCCATTGGAGAAGAAAGATTAAAAACTCAATTCCTTCAAAACGCAGTCGTTTCGTTCCATATCTGACTGTAACACGTCGAAATGACATTCTTACCCTCCTCCATAGTTTATCTACTCACTCAAGCTCAAGTGAAGTGAGAAGATTTGAAACTCCGATGATGATTTTACGGTGCGGGCTCTTTCAACCGCCGTGTATCTCCGCCGTGAGAGCTAGATGTTTCGCCGGAGAAACTGCCGACACTGGAATTCTCTTCCGAGAGAAGCTAATTTATCTACAGGACCTCAACGTTGATCCTCACAAGGCTCTCCGAGTGAATCCATCTCTCCGCGCTGCTCCAATCTCCTCCGTCCTCTCCGTCGAGACTCTTCTCTCTTCGACCGGACTCTCAAGACCAGCAGTCGGTAGGATTCTCGATATGTTCCCCGATTTGCTAACCTCCGACCCCGAATCCGAAATCTTACCGGTCCTGCGCTTCTTATCCGACGAGATCTCGATTTCCGAGCAAGACATCCCGAAATCGATCTCTCGCTGCCCTCGATTGCTCATTTCCTCGGTCGATTTCCAGCTCCGTCCGGCATTGGCGTTCCTCGAAACCCTAGGATTCGTCGGACGCGACGCGATTTCGTCGCGAAACACGGTTCTGCTCGTGTCTAGCGTGGAGCGAACCCTAATCCCCAAAATCGAGTTCCTCGAAGAAGGATTAGGGTTTACGAGAGAAGAGGTGGCGAAGATGGTTGTGAGGTCTCCGGCGTTGTTGACTTACAGCGTGGAGAACAATTTAGCTCCGAAAGTTGAGTTCTTCTTGGAGGAGATGCGTGGAGACGTGAAGGAGCTGAAACGTTTTCCTCAGTATTTTTCTTTTAGCTTGGAGAGGAAGATAAAGCCGAGGCATAGATTGCTTAAGGAACATGGGATTTTGATGCCATTGTCGGAGATGTTGAAGGTTAGTGATGGACTGTTTAACAATTGGCTTTTAGAGCTACGGCTTAGGTCTGTTGAGAGGAGATGTTGAAACAATGTGTAAGCTTCTTTCTTTATTGTAGATTAAGCTTTGTTTACTAAAATTTTGAGAGATGAATTTGCCAAAAAGTTTTGCACTTCGAGACATGCCATGACACTTCACTTGAGCTTGTATATAGTTTCTTGTTCCAAAGATTGAGAAATGTTTTGTTAGATTAAGTTATGACTTATGAGGAAAATTTCTTTGAAGTTGTCTACTTCAGGATGTTGGAACAGAGATTATGTTAAATGTGTGCCTTGTACATACATTGCTTTGAATGTGTGTTGCTTTCAGGATATTGAGTTTAGTTTGCAAACAATGTTAATGAGAAAAGTTGCTTAACATGAGCATGTACATAGTTTTTATTCAAAGATTAGGTTCAATGGATCATGTAATGTGTAAGTAAGAACACAAATGAAGAGATTGCTTGAAGGTGTCTGCACTTGAATTCAAAATGCAATAGATTCGTTACAAAGGTTACTTGAGGAAGAGGTTTATTGCCTGCTAAATTGACAATTTGCAGCAAGAACAATCCTAAAAAAAACAAAGAAAAAAACCCAAAAAAAAACGATTCAAAAATCAAAAAAATCTGTGTCGTTGTCAGTCGTCCGAGTCAGAATCAGAATAATCACTAGAGTCTTCATCATCATCATCATCATCATCATCATCATCATCATCGTCGTCATCAACGTTTTTCAGCATTTGGTCTTGGTCTTCACCTTCAAGAGGCATCTCGTATCTACACTGAGGACAAGTAGCGTGAATCTTCAACCACTTCTTCACGCACTCGAAGTGATAATTGTGTTTACATGGCAACTCCGCAGCCTCGTCACCTTTTTGCCATTCCTCCATACATATCACACAAGCTGCTTCCTTCTCTGCCATCTCTACACGTGGCAAAGTCTCCACGGACCATCTCGACGCCGGCGGCCTCCCGTACACACTATAAACGGAACGACGCGACGGCACTGATGTTGGTGTAGGCCTCGACACAGCCTCTGGTGTCGTAGGCGTGCTCGACATTTGCAAGTTCGGTATAGTCATTGGTGTTATCAACGAAATAAGCGCATGATTCATCCTAAGACGTTGAAAATCCATGTGTAATTCACGTGAGTCATTGTCTTCAATAGAGGAAAAATCTCTTTCGGAAGACATCGCAGCAAACTCTTTAAAAGTTAAGAAACTAATAAGAACTATGATTTTATTGATGAGAGATTAAGGAGAAAAGTAATGAAACTAAGCTTTTTGAAGAAAATGGAATAAAATCTGAGGGATTTATAGGTTGTTTAGGTTGGAGATTTGAATTTATCCACATATTTCGGTTTAAAATGTTTGCTAAAGATTTTTAGATAATACTCATAAAAATCTTTATAAAAGTTACTTTGGAATATACTTAGTGAGTTTAAGTACTTTTATCGAATAACAAATTTTATTACAATACCATATCCGATCTCCAGTAACAAAAGTTCAATTCGGTTTAATAGATTGTGAAACTACAAGTTCGACACCGGAATTTAAAAAGAAGGGAATTCGATCTCGGCTCCACATTTTCCATGAGGGAAAACTGGACACTCGATTAAACCGGAACCGGACCGGTCAACACATTGGTAGACTTGGTACAATTGGCTATTGCCAGATCCACCTCTGTTACACTCGATCCAAGGAGTGAAACCCGTTGACTCTTTGATCGAATCTCTTATGCTCTCCAAAGTGTACGACTTTCCATCCGGGTTAATCCCTATAACATAAACATAAACAAGTAATTAGACCAAGAGATTCAAAAACGGGATAAACCAAACCGGTAAATAAGAACCAAAGCGTACCGGCTTTGGTGAGTGCACCAAGAAGATTGGTTTTCTGCTTAAGGGCAAGAGCGGTTTGGAAATACTGGTGCTGGTCGATAACCGATTCGGAGCAAGTACCGTGCTTCTCCCATTCGTGCTCCCAAAACGCCTCACCTGAGCCGCTCGGGCAAGCCAGCGTCGGCCAGCTCTTCTTCATGGAGCTGATCAAATCCGATATCTGTACCAAACAAACCAAACCAAACCAATTGGTATATTTCACGAATTACCATTTTGGAGATTAAAACCGATTTTAACCGGAGAAACAGAAATGTGCATGTTGTTACCGTTGAGCTATCGAATGGTTTAGTTTGGTCACAGTTAGATGGATAAGTGCCATCTTTGTAGTTAGGCCAGAGACCATGGATTCCGAAATCAGCAGCTGGTTTGCCTGAAGTTGGATAGCAACAACTCTTCTGTGTGTCACAGTATGATCCTGGCCACTTTTAAAACCATACATAAAAAACAATATCAGAAAAAAATGTTTAAAAAATAATTGTTACATGTTGATGATAAGTAATGGTTTAATTACTTGTTGGACGAAGTAGAAGAAATCGAAATCTTCAGAGGAAGAAGAAGCGGCGAAGAGGGAAGGCAAGATTAGGAGAAGACTGAGCAGACACAGTGATGCTTGAAAGATCTTCATCTTCAAATGAGAATGCTTTGATGTCTTAGAAGATTGTGGTTTTGGAGATTTGAAGTTATAGGATTGAGATGGTTATGGGTGAGTATTTATAAAGGGAAACAGAATCAGAGGAATGTGAACAGATCAGTGGAATGTGAACAGAGAAATCTCTTTCCTAGTTTTGTGTCATACTTAAATGTAGTTACATCAAGCGAATCTGGGAGTTTTATGGTATATACCTCTATGAGGAGTGTATGTATATTTACGAGATTCTTTTATTGTTTTCTTCTTAAATTTCTGAACCAGGACATGAGATTGACGTGTGGACATGGTTATGGTTTTTAATTTTTATGAAGTCGTTACGTTCCCACTTGTGTGTTCGTATTCTCGTGCCAATTGTCTACATTTTATTTTTGATATAATCTTTATTAAAAAATATTAATAATTTTACTATGGATTTATTTACAAAATTAGAAAAGGAATAGCACTAAATGACAATAAATATTATATTTTAGAAATATAGCAATGATTTATGTTTTTGGCCAGAGTAAAATGGGGGTGTTTTTTTTTTATAACAGGTTTCACAAGTAAAATGAATTGAAACAAGCATTTAGTGGTTTTATTTATTCTTGTTTAAATATTATCTAGGCATGATTTTCTTGTCATGTTATTTTTTTTATGGATAATTTATCTTATGAAATCTGATAATTTGAGTCACATAAACGTGTGATTTTTATTTTGAGATAATATTTTATGAGCCACACAAAAATAAAAAATAAAAGTCCATGATTAATTGTTTAATCCGGAAGAGAATTATTTTAAAAAGATTTATGTCATTATTTAACATATTAGTCAGATCTTGCTATCTCCATTTTGAAAAATACCAAACCAGATATTTTCAAAGATACAATCAATAAAATCACTGAAATTTAGCTTGTGGTTTTTACGAACTACTAGTTTTTTTGAGATTTAAAAAAAATAAAAAAATTAATACTAACGAATTTGATCGGATACTCTTTTGTCATCCCAGCAACGTGAAAACTTATTGCAAATAAAAGATTTCTCAGTTTGAAAAAGAACAAAAAAAGAGAGAACGAAAACAATTTATCTTCGAAAACACACAACATTATTGGTCGCGAGTCGTTACCGACGTTTTTCTTGCTCCAATACAACCAAAGTGTTTTAAAAGTAGACGTCAGCTGAACTGTATTGGTTCCTTGTTATTAATGATGTGATCTGTTAAACTAACTGATCACATTGTACCTCACTAAGTCAACAAATTGTTTACTCTGTCATTACTTATAAAGATAATAAAAACAAAAAAAACCATTGAAAAGTTGTACTATACTGTATTGTTTTTGTTAACACTTACGTTTGACCTTTGAAAAAACCATTTATCAAAATTCGCATCTATTCACACACAAAGATCTTTGCGCACCAGAAGCAAAGATCACTGTTTGGATCATCAGGAACCACAATGGTATACACATGAATAGTGGAATGGGAAAATTCCAAGGACGACATTCGGCTGAAGAAGCAGAGTTTGCGGCTCTCATCTGGGCATTACAATCAGTCAATCAGCATGGTCGATGGGATATACTCCAATGGAATTTGAAGGAGATAATCAGTTAATCAATCAGATACTCCTAGGTAAAACGATAAATCTAAAGTTGCAACACTAAGTCTCGAGAATCAAAGGACTCATATGTTCCAACATATTAAATTCAGTCATCGAACTCGAGAAGCAAATAAATGTGCCGACGTCTTGGCAAAAAAAGCTATTACCTTGGTATATTTTTCATATTTGTCCTTCCTTTTTACAACCATTTGTAAACACTGATTTTACATTTGCAAATTAATGAAAAATGTAGACGACAAAAAAAAAAAAAGCAAAGATCACTGTCACTTGTAACAAAAAAAGAACAAAAATCTGGTTACAAAATAAAAATAAAAATAATGAACAATAAGCAGACAAACAACCAACCAACCAAAAATGTAAGAAACGTACCCCAAACAGATCTTAATCTAAAACACAACAATAAACTAACATCGATATTCAAATTGTCCGTATTAAACAAACAATCAACTCTTTACAACTATAAACTATTAACTGTCTAATATAAATATGTTGGTTAATTTTACCAAAAAAAAAATGTTGGTTAAACAAACATCAGTCTTTGGGTGAATTTTTTCTAAAGACAACACTAAGAACCTAGAATGAATCTTGAGTAAGTAAACCAAAACATTTACCGGAAAAAATTAGCTGCAAAACAGACATGGTTTCAAGCTAAGAGAATTAAGCATATTAATAATGGCACCATTTGTTAGAGATTAACATTTATCTATCTAAACCTATTTGAGAAAGAACGAGATAGACGAGCTAGGAGGAAGAAGAAGAAACAAAACAACAAGAACGGGGCCAAACAGAAAGTAACCGAGGAATCCAAGATTAGATTCTCCTTGGTAGCAAGTAAAATAAAATACGTGTACAATGACGATGATAAAATTGGGATTCAGCTAATGCAAATGTATTAATCTTTTTTAAAAAGTTATCAAAACAAAAGCATGCATTTTAGGGAAATAAAAAAGATTAACTACACATTCTAAATAAATGCACCAGAACTGTAATTCAATAACTTTTCAAACGCCATCTAACTCTAACTCATTAAGAGGACAAGGGATAAAAACTAAAGTCATCAAGTACAATTTTATAAAAATAACACAATAATCATCATCAAAGTATACGAGGATGTCATTTCCCAAGTTTTGAATGATCATTAAGTCACTGGAGCATATTGCAAAACAATCATAGAAAATGATGGACATTTAATTTAAGATAAACATACAAGAATAAATATATTTTCAAGAAAGGCTATATCATCAGATCCGTACCAGAAGCAAATATCACAACCGGTTTGAACAAAGAATGAACAATTGGTAGACCATATATTCAACCGAAATGCAAGTAATCTGTTCACCAGACAAATCATGTAATTTAAAACACTACAGAAACTAACATATTGTCAAACAAACAACCATCAACAAATGTTATTTTCTTGTCCATTAATCATCCGTGTTTGATGCAAATGTTAGAATGCGAGGATGTCATTTCGCATGAGTAGAATGATCACCAAAGAGTTAGGGCATAATGCAAAACATATACGTTGGAGTTTCAAGGAAATTACGATCACAACATGCATGAGTCTAACATACATTAAACATAAATATCTACATGACCTTTACCGACAAAGAAGAGAATCAGTTTGAAATTTGGGAGCCACGTTAGGAAAAACACCGTGATTAAAGTCAAATGCACTGATGATGAGTACAGAGGAAGAACAAGAAAAAAAGCAAGGGCGGGAAAAACTGAAAGTTGCCGAGAAACCCCAATCAACATGCAAATGTAAGACAAATCACTTAGATATCAAGAAAACAAAACGTTATAAACATATTAATTGTTATACAAACAAGATCATACGAACTGTGATAGCCACCTAGGCACCTACATGTTAATTATCTTTTAGGAAAAAGATATGATTAATCAAGGTTGGTTCTTCATGGGGATGGTTACATCATTTGTGACCAAAAACAAAGAATATGTGCACCCTAGGTAGATCAAATCAATCAGCTAATAATTTTCTCAAGCAATCAAAACTAACATATCAAATATATCACGGTGTACGACTAAAAACTCTGAATATAAAGAAGAAAAAGCTGACTTCTGTTCATCGTACATCATCTTCTGGTGTAAATAATAAGGGAGTAAACTTAAGTAGACTTCTACTCATTATTAGGACAAACAAAGCTAATCTAATTACTATAATTGTCCACTCTAATATTGTGGTCTGATTACTTTAAAGCTAATCTCTCAATTGAATTATGGGTATACCATATACATGTCAAAGATGACCGAAAAAGTATAGAAAAGTTGTCAAAACATACAAGCAACCTATGAACAATTAGGAATTCATGCCTACGCAGCATTAAGCATTAAAAAACGTGAGATTGAATGATTAAAATATGATTTACTCTTATGTTTCTATCTTTTGGATATATGACAAAGAAGAACAAGAAACTGTAGCTACAAGCAGAGGAAAGATACAAAGATCATATTAAAATTAGCAGAAAGTGAAGTAAGCATACATTTAATTAATAATCTGTAATTCAATAAAGACACAAATGAACATAACTATTTACAAAAACATTCAACATAATTATTCAAAGAACAAATTTGTAGAAAAGACAGCCCGTAGAATATAAAAGATATCAAACAAAGATATCAAATAATACTACAAATATTATATGAACATAAATAAAAATTGTTCAAAGGTTGGGAACAAAACTGATTTCGACACCAAAGTTTCAATTATTTCGAAAACTATGTTCAATAACTATGTAATAGCAGAGAAAGTCAGAGCAAAAGATAACTAAAGTTTCAGTTATCACATAAACTATGTTATTGCAGAGAAATTTCAAAAAGTAACAGAAAACTAGATCTTGTAAAAAACTTGCTAGTCTAACAACTGTTACAGAAACTTCGATTCACAAAATATTAACCTAAACAACAGAGAAAATCAGAGCATCTATACTACATGCATACAAGGAGGATGATAAAACTCGTATTCGGATGCTGCAAATTGCTAGATTTTGACTTACGAAAACTGTTACTAAAACAAAAAGAAACATGAAAAGGGATTCAAGAGAGATCAATTACGTACACATTCTAAATAATTGCAGAGCATAATGCAAAACGATCACAGACCAAAATGGACCCTTAATTAGGTATAACGTAAGATAAACATACAAGAATACATATATTTCCAAGACAAGTCAATCAATTTACCATAGTGTGACTATTCCAATAATCAAGAAGGCAAGAAGCAAAAGTCAGACTAGTACCAGAAACAAAGATCACTGTCAGTCTTAACAAAGAATGAACAATAGACAGTCAAACAATCAACCAAAATGCAAGAAATGTATTAGCTAAACAGATTTTATAATCCCAAACACAACAAAAACTA